TGAATTTTTTAATATTTTAAGTAATGCTTTTTTTAATTTTTAGACACACCTAATATAAACACACTTAAAAAGTATAATATTTGTGAAAAAATCTTTAAGAAATACACTAAATACCAAAAAATACAAAAAAAAAAAAAATGAAAATTTAGTACATTTTCGTATTTTTGTGTATTTATTGATTTTTTAAAATATTTTTTCACAAATACTTTACTATTTAGATACATCTAAGTAAAGTGTATCTAAAAAAGTAAAAAAATTACTTAAAATTTTAAAAATATTCACTAAAAACAAAAAAACTCAATTTTCAAAAAACTGAATTCAGAAAACTGAAATCAAACACACTGATTGTTTTTGTATTGATGGCCATCAAGTGATCATTTGGTCTGTAAGACCTATTGATTGTTTTGTTATGGGATGTACCACGCATAACTATTGTGTGAGTGAATTTCCGACCACACTACCAACTCAGTATTTAGCTGGAGAGCACTGGCAGAATAGATGGTGCCTGAATGACCTGCAACAGAAAGAGAAGATTCCGGCGGTGGTTCGTCCACCCGAGGGCACTCCGACGATCAAGTCAGTAAAGTATTCTCAAAGATAATCAATAGTACATAACTCACTGTTCAGAATATAAATTACGTACCTTAGACTCATGGGGATGTCTCTCTTTTATAGTTAACTCAATCCTAGTCCCAATAGAAGCCTTGCTTCAATGGACTTTTAGCTCAGTGCTTATCATGGACTCTTCAACAGATAAAGATAAACTCCCTAAGAGTGTTATCCTTATCCATACTGAAGTCCTTCCTCATTCTAGGACTCTTGTGCCTTATCCGCTTATTCCGGATTCCGATATCTTCGGAGGTAACTTCGGCCTAGCCGAGATCACATCGGCGCGTAACCAGAACACGTGGCACCTCGGCCGACACGTCAACGTCACCTTGGCCACGTGTTGGTACTCAGAAAATATATCCCCACAACTACCCCTAGGTTCTATTACCTCGGCAAGCATTCTGAGGTGATGGAACCTATATCAGTACTTGATTCTGGTACGTCGGCTTAAAATCTAGCAGCCGAGATCATTTGTAAAGGCCGACATGTCGTTTTTAAAGATCAAGAATTCCAAGAGTTCCCTCACGCGTATGAGCTGTCAAGCATAACAACTCAACCGTTTTAGCCACGTGTTTTCCGTTTACTGGATCGTACTCAGTGCGCGTTTGTAAGTCATCTTGTGCCTGCATGCGCCATCTGACAAATCCGTCATTCTAGGCTCATCAATTCCATTTTGCCGCCTTTTTGCGTTTTTGACAAAACTTCCTTCATTTCCCTGTCTTTTCACTCTTCTCCATCATTTTTGAGGCTTTCTTTCTCTCTCTAGCTTTTTCTTCCAAATACTCCATTGCTCCTTTCATGAAGTTTTCTGCGACCAACTTGTCTTTCTCCTCCGGCGAGGTGTCTGCCGTATTTCCGTGCTTCCGACTACCGCTTGATCCCGGCGAAAATTTTCTTCGGTTTCATTTTTCTGGTAAGTCACTGTTCTTCCTTATTTCAGTTCTTGATTTTTCCTCACGCTCTGCCATTTTTGCGAGCTTGCTTATGTCTTTGACTAGTTTAATCTGTTCATGTATTTAAGCATTGTTGCCTTGCGATTCTATTTTTGCCTAAACCTTTCTTGAGTATTCACACACTGTTGACACATTTGTTTTTACTGTTGCCATTGTTCTTGGCCTTGTACCCTTGCACACACTCTGTCACAGTGTTCTTGATGATTCACCACTATTCTTGATTCTGAATCATTGCTATTGTTTGTGTTTTCTGTATTTTTCTCTAGATTTTTGCCTTCAATCTCTGTTTGCTTAGACTTAGGTTTGAGATTTGCCTTAGAATACACGAATCTTAGGGAAAACTGAAACGAATCCCCCTCTGATCTTCACAAATTCTTACCCCAGCATGAACTTTAGGTTTTACCGAGGTCTTCTGAGCCTTTGCAAAACACTTTATTTTCAATTTATACACCTTCCCCCTAAGCCGACGTCATGGGTATGTAAAAGCATAGGGTAGACACCCCGACCAAATTAGAATACTTTAGGCGGGAGTTTTCTACCCTTGCCGACGTCCACCTCAGGTTGGCAGGGGAGGAGGATTCCATTATGCCCAATGTGAGCCTCATGCCTTTCTTAGTAGTGGCCTTTATCGAGTGTGGACTTAGGTTTTCACTTGACACCTTTTTTCGAGAAATCCTTCATTACTATAAATTGAACCCAATGTAGCTTGCCATCAATGCTTACTAAGTTATCAATGGTATAATAGCCTTAACCAAACAAGAGAATGCTAGGGTTACTCTTGCCGATATCCAGTACTGCTACACTATGTGTCGCCTGAAATCGGAAAAAGGCCACATCTATTACCACAAGCTTAGGTCCACTGAGTACAAGCTCATTGCCGACCTCCCAGACTCAAACAAGGGTGCTGGAGACGATTGCTTCATCGTCTCGGGCAACTGGGAGTTTCAGCCAAACGATGACCTCCACCTTTATCCCCTAAGCCGAACAGTTTTTGGGGAAGGAGATGGTAAGGGCCAAGTGTCACTTTTTCTTGCTCTCTTTTTAAAATTTTTAATACTTTGTTGTAACGTCTGTGCTCTTCTTTTTGCAGTTCTTCCTCAGCCACCAAAGGGCTTTCGTAAGTCTTTCTTCCCCAGCAAGGACTTGAAGAAGCTATTGGATTTGCCAGTCCACAAGCGGAGAGCCCCTCTGCTGCTCAATTTTATTCCTACTTACAAGTCGGTTCTTCCCGACATTCCAAAGAAGAAGAAGAAGAGTCAATTTCCTCCGTCTGCCACTACTCCTCCCATCACTTCAATATCTCGGCCAGATCAAGGATCGACCTTTGATCCAGCAGAGCAGCCGTCAACCTCGGCTCCATATCTAATCCCACCATCTCAACGCCAACGTCGCCATAGAACTACAATTTTTGCCGAGATGGGTCGCAAGAAAGCTGTCGTTGACGATCTTCTAGCCGACATCCCTGACTCAGTTGATGCTCAAGCAGCACAAACCCAGCCTCAACTAAAGCCAAAGCCAAAACGTCTGAAGAAGGCTTATCCCAAGGCAACGGTGACTCAGATTGATACTGAGGACACCTTGCCAATTTCTAAATTGGCCGAGAGCGATAAGACCCCTTCTGCTACCGAGAAGAGGCCCGTCGATGCCCAACCATCCGAATCTACTAGATCAAAGAGGCCGAGGTCATCCTTTGCGACCACCTCAGGCCATTAAAACATGATTTCCCCTGGGCCCCGCCAATTACAATCGACGACAAGCCGGTTAAGGCTGGTGATAGCGCCAACAACATTGAGGTCGGCGTTGCCCTTTCCACCGCCTTGCTGTTGCCTGAAGATCTTAATCGTAATGCTCAGATAAGCGAATACGAAAATTTTGCTTTGATGCTGCAGCATTCCATTCAAGTAAGTTCTATATACTTGATATTTTTCTTTCTTTCTCTTTTTTACACTTAGAAAATTTTCTAATAACTTCTGCTTTGTCCATTTTTCTTCAGGCGATCCAGCACGCCCACTCCTTCTCAATGTAATCTTTTGAGACAAGGAAGGAGTTGGTCGACAAGACTAGGGAGGTTACTAGTTTGCAGAAGGCCATAAAAATGACTGAGGCAAAAATGAAGATTTTGGCAGACCAGGCCGAGGCTGCTGTCAAAGCTAAGGATGATGCCGAAGAAAAAGCGGATGCCGCTGAGGCCATTAACAAAGTTCTTGAGGCCCAGAAGAAAGAGGCCGAAAAAAAGACGGCCGAGGCCCAAAAAGAACTCCAAGACGCCCTAGCCACAAAGGAGGCCGAGATCAAGGCAACCGATGAGAGGGCATATGCAGAGGGGGCGGCCGACGTCAAGGAGGATTACAAAAAAAAAAAGTGAAGCAGGCTTGCAACAAGGGTTTCACCCTTGGTTGGATGGCCACTCTAAAAAAGCTTGACGTTCCCGAGGACTCCCCCCTCAAGAAAGTCGACGTCCTACCCCTGCCATTCCCCCTCTACTCCAAGCCAATCCGAAGACGATTCTGAGTCTGAGGAGGAAGCTTTGGTGAGGAAGTCGAAGGAAGCTGCTGGGGCCAAGTCCCCTACTCCAAATGCGCAAGTCCTGGACTTGACTCAAGATGAGGAGGGTGAGGAGGTCTCCAAGGATGCTACTCCTGAGAAGGAAACATCGGACATGCCTATCGCCGACAAGAGCCTTGACCAAACCCTTCAAGAAATAGATGTCGAGCTCACGGCTGAAAAGGCCGTCGAGATGTCTTCTCAGCAGTCTTCATTCCAGAACCTTCATACCAAACTCTTCACCCATATAAGATAAAAACCCATTGGAAATAAAACCCCACTTTCATTCTGCTTTTCTGAGCTTTAAAGGTAGAACAACCTAGAACAACTAACACCATCTCTCTCTCTTTCTCTCTCTCTCTCTCTCTCTCTCTCTCTTCCCCCTCAATCTTTCTCTCTTACCCCCATATTGTCTTTCTTCCTCTTAATTACTCTATCCTCTAAATCGAATATGAAAAAACCCTAAATCAAAGATGAAGAAACCCGAAACCCAAAGTCAAACCCTAAGCACAAAGATGAAAACGAAGAAGATTAAGCTGAAGCTTCAGAATGCTGAAATCATCTGAAATCCATCAAGCATCTTGAAATCTAGGTATTTATTGTTTAGAATTTGCTTCAAATTTATTCAGATTACTTGGTGTTACCTTTCATTGCTCTTTTTTTTAAAGTTTTTAATACTTTGTTCTAATGTCTGTGCTATTCTTTTTGCAGTTCTTCCACAGCCACCAAAGGGCTTTCGCAAGTCTTTCTTTCCCAGTAAGGACTTGAAAAAGCTATTGGATTTGCCCGTCCATAAACGGAGAGCTCCCTTGCTTCTGAACTTCATCCCGACCAACCCTAGTGTTTGCCGCCAAAAAGCTCCGCCATTACCTTCTTTCTTACCCCATCCATCTCATGACCAGAAGCGATCCTATCCGATTTCTCCTCACTAGACCAGCGCTCTCTGGCAGGCCAGCCCGTTGGCTCCTATCTTTAGCGGAATATGACATCACTTGCAAAGCTCCCAAGGCCATCAAAAGTCAAGCGCTCGCTGACCTCTTGGCTCACTTTCCCAGTGGAAAACATGAGCCGCCCTCGGATGAATTGCCAGGAGATGAGTTCCAAGCGGCTGAAGTAAACACCGAAGGAGAATGGAGTTTGAGTTTTGATGGATCGTCCACCTCTAAAAGGGGAGGAGCTGGAATAGTCCTTGTTTCCCCAAATCAAACTGAAGTCAATTTGTCATATAAACTGGATTTTAAATGCTCTAACAACAAGGCGGAATATGAAGCCCTGATATTGGGGCTTATGGCAGCACTCCACCTAGGAGTAAGTCTCCTATGTATCAAAGGCGACTCTAATCTGGTGGTCAAGCAGACCAATGGAGACTATGCTATCAAAGAGCCCCCTTTGGCTTCATACAGAACCATCGTCCAAAGGTTGACAGACAAATTCGACACGGTAAGGATAGAACACGCTCCTCGCTTCAATAATCGACACCTGGACGCCCTCGCCACCTTGGTCTCTAAGGTGGAATTCTCGGAAGAATCAACCAAGATAGAAGTCCTGAAACGCTCCGTGCCATGTTCAGTAACAACTATCTTCCCTGAAAAAGAACCCGCCGATTGGAGAGCACCAATCATCGATGAGCTCCGTGCACCCTCAGGTAAACTACCTTTGAGTGAGACCAAACACTTCACGATTTATCAAGGAGTCCTCTACTATAGAAGGCCTGGTGGTTTATTGGCACGATGCATTGACCTTATCGAAGCCAAGTGCAAATTAGAAGGGGTGCACAACCGCTCATGTGGGACAGGAGATGTAAGCCTCTACAGGAGGCTACAACGACAAGGATCCGTGACAATTTTAGAGTCCCGAGCTGTAGTGACCCCAAATGAACAGAACGGGACTCATCCTCCCGGGGCGTTCAGGGACGTCTACAGTGCACAACCGCTCATGTGGGACAAGAGATGTAAGCCTCTACAGGAGGCTACAACGACAAGGATATTATTGGCCTACCATGGCCAAGGAAGCGAATGACCTTCAAGGGAAGTGCACCAAATGTCAAGAATTTCCTCCAAAGGCTGAATGCAACTTCACAGAAATCACCTCCGACTGGCGTGTGAGCTCACCATTCTCATAGATTATTATATTTTCTTAGCTCACCAACTTCATGGCTCACCAATATTTTATTAATTTTTGTTAGAATTCTTCAATTCCATAACTCTCCATGGGTTAGCTCACCATTCTCATAGATCACTAATATTTTATTATTATTTTCTTAGCTCACCAATTCATGGCTCACCAATATTTTATTAATTTTTGTTAGAATTCTCCAATTCCATAACTCTCCATATGTTAGCTCACCATTCTCATAGATCACTAATATTTTATTATTATTTTCTTAGCTCACCAATTTCATGGCTCACTAATATTTTATTAATATTTTGTTAGAGTTCTCCAATTCCATTACTCTTCATGGGTTAGCTCACCATTCTCATAGATCACTAATATTTTATTATTATTTTCTTAGCTCACCAATTCATGGCTCACCAATATTTTATTAATTTTTGTTAGAATTCTCCAATTCCATAACTCTCCATGGGTTAGCTCACCATTCTCATAGATCACTAATATTTTATTATTATTTTCTTAGCTCACCAACTTCATGGCTCACCAATATTTTATTAATTTTTTTTGTTAGAGTTCTCCAAGTCCATAACTCTTCATGGGTTAGGTCACCATTCTCATAGATCACTAATATTTTATTATTATTTTCTTAGCTCACCAACTTCATGGCTCACTAATATTTTATTAATTTTTTGGTTAGAATTCTCCAAGTCCATAGCTCTTCACGGGTTAGCTCACCATTCTCATAGATTATTATTATTTTCTTAGCTCACTAACTTCATGGCTCACCAATATTTTATTAATTTTTATTAGAATTCTCCAATTCCATAACTCTCCATGGGTTAGTTCACAATTCTCATAGATCACTAATATTTTATTATTATTTTCTTAGCTCACCAAATGTGATAGCTCACCAATATTTTATTAATTTTTGTTAAGAATTCTCCAATTCCATAACTCTCCATGGGTTAGCTCACCATTCTCATAGATCACTAATATTTTATTATTATTTTCTTAGCTCACCAAATGTGATAGCTCACCAATATTTTATTAATTTTTGTTAAGAATTCTCCAATTCCATAACTCTCCATGGGTTAGCTCACCATTCTCATAGATCACTAATATTTTATTATTATTTTCTTAGCTCACCAAATGTGATAGCTCACCAATATTTTATTAATTTTTGTTAAGAATTCTCCAATTCCATAACTCTCCATGGGTTAGCTCACCATTCTCATAGATCACTAATATTTTATTATTATTTTCTTAGCTCACCAAATGTGATAGCTCACCAATATTTTATTAATTTTTGTTAAGAATTCTCCAATTCCATAACTCTCCATGGGTTAGCTCACCATTCTCATAGATCACTAATATTTTATTATTATTTTCTTAGCTCACCAAATGTGATAGCTCACCAATATTTTATTAATTTTTGTTAAGAATTCTCCAATTCCATAACTCTCCATGGGTTAGCTCACCATTCTCATAGATCACTAATATTTTATTATTATTTTCTTAGCTCACCAATTCATGACTCACCAATATTTTATTAATTTTTGTTAGAATTCTCCAATTCCATAACTCTCCATAGGTTAGCTCACCATTCTCATAGATCACTAATATTATTTTATTATTATTTTAGCTCACCAACTTCATGGCTCACCAATATTTTATTAATTTTTGTTAGAATTCTCCAATTCCATAACTCTCCATGAGTTAGCTCACCATTCTCATATATCACTAATATTTTATTATTATTTTCTTAGCTCACCAACTTCATGGTTCACCAATATTTTATTAATTTTTGTTAGAGTTCTCCAAGTCCATAACTCTTCATGTGTTAGCTCACCATTCTCTTAGATCACTAATATTTTATTATTATTTTCTTAGCTCACCAATTTCATGGCTCACCAATATTTTATTAATTTTTGTTAGAGTTCTCCAATCCCATAACTCTCAATGGGTTAACTCACCATTTTCATAGATCACTAATATTTTATTGTTATGTTTCTAGCTCACCAATTTCATGGCTCACCAATATTTTATTAATTTTTTGTTAGAGTTCTCTAATTCCATAACTCTTCATATGTTAGTTCACCATTCTCATAGCTCACTAATATTTTATTATTATTTTCATAACTCACCAATTTCTTAGCTCATTAATATTTTATTATTAATTTTAGAGGTCTTCATTTTTTTTTTCCAACTCTCTAACATTTTTCAAACTCTCAGAAATCATAGCTCTCCTAATATTTTTATGGCTCACCAATTCCATAGCTCCCCTCAATTCCAATATTTTGTTCGAAATCTCCAATCTCATAACTCCCTAATATTCTAAGCGTGGAACTCCACTTTTGTAACTCCCTAATATCTTGGTCTAATATTTTATTTATTTTTCTTTTTTTTTATTTCCCGACTATTTCTCCAATATGTATCAAAATAATAATAATAATAAAAAAAAAAATTCTCGAACCCTTGCCTCTTTACCAAAATAATACAGTTTTATTATTATTCAACTCTCCAAAAGGCAGTCCTCTATTTTTGACTTATCTCGTTATTTATTTTATTTTATAGTCTGCCCCCTTTTCTTTTTCTTTGTTTCATCACAAAACAGACAAAACATATATATATATATATATATTATAGCGAATAAATAAACACATACATAGCCAATCTATGGGAGATTTGAAGCATACCTCACGGAAGACAACTACAAGAAGACGATACCCAGATTGTTGTTTAGGTTCCAACGCACCAGGTCCTCCTCACCCAACTCGCAACTGTGGCTCGCCACTACCCAACTCACCCTCCTCGTTTCTCACCTTCTCTATCGCCTGTCAATTACCGAGATTTTGCCCCTTCCCTCAAGAATCGATGATAGCAACTAACCCCCAAAATCCTTTAGCAAAGAAATCAAAACCCTAGCCTTCCTCTAATGTCAGCTCACACTCCTTCACTTCTGCGCAGAATCTTTGATCAAGATCCAAACCCACTTCCTTTGGCAAAACACTGTGTTCGCAGAACCTTTTAAAAATCGATTTCAAACATTGGCAATACAGATGACCAACCCCAGCGGCAGACCCAGAACCACCCTTACGGCTCACCGACGGCAACCTCTACGCTTCGCAGGTAACTCTCTTCCTTCTCGCCTCTCTTCTCTCTTCGTGCCTTCTCGGAGCTCGTCGGCGGCAAGCTTTTTCCCCTTCCACGGCTGTCAACCTTTCTCTCCCAGTTGAACTTTGGATTTTCTAGTCTTTCACTCTAAGTGGGATTCTAGGTTTTGTTTAGAGAGAAAACCAAAGGTATACCCAGACACAAATCTTCCCAAACAGTTTTCCTAATGGTATAGGAAACCTAGTTGCAGATAACCATGTCAATAAAACATCCTTGCACACCTTGGGTAAAGGGAGAAGACGTGGGCAACAACCGGATAATACACAATCCCTCTCTGATCCAGTTCAAAAAAAAAAAAAAAAAGGGTCTGCACAATGGATAAAAGGAGAAGTGGACGAAGTAACCAGAATTTGGACAGCTCTGGTCAAATTCAAAATACACGGAATACATAAAAAAAAAAAAAAATAAAAAAAAGGGGGTGAACTCTCCTTTCAAACAGTTTCGAACAAGCTAAAGTCATATACACAAACTTCTTTGAATTCAAAAAACATATATATATATATAAATAATAATGTGTATATATACACACATATTCAGGATTGCACCTTTCCGAAGATGAATCCTTAAACCAATCGAACTCTTTGCTACAGACTGCAAATACCTTAAAGCCTTCAAAAAGTCACTTTACTAATAGCTACACAAGCTATCACATTATACTGAGCAACTCCAAAATTAGTAGGTCTGCTCTAAACCTATAACTTTAATTTATGAGTTGTCTTCTTCATGGATCGCCCATTCCCAATGTAAAGCTGCAAAAGTTAGTAAATTCACCTCCTCTTTCCCAATGCAATCTCATCTTTATAAGAGAGCAAATACGGGACAGCAAAAAAAAAAAAAAAAAAACAGGCAAATTCATATCTACTCGCCAACATTCTCCTCTCAACTTCAACAACCCATTCTCTCTAAATGGCTTCTGGAGGAGAGAGGCACCGAGATAACACCATTTGGCGGCCAGTGAACAAGGCTCCAAACCCAAGAGGTCCAAGCTATAGAGCTTTAAGCTCCAACTCTAGAGCTTCAAGCTCCACTCCTACTCACCGTCGCCGCCCTGTATGTGATTTCTTTCGAAAGATGCTCTCCATGCCTCCATGGCAATTTCAAGATCTGCTATTCGAATCCCCTTGGATCCAACACCCAATATCTGCTCATACAGTTGTAGAGGTACCGGAAGAATTCCGGGGTAAAATAAGAGGATGGTACAAGGCACTAGCCATTCTAGAACTTTACACAATACCACTGTCCTATAGTTGGTTTTTGCGAAACGAAGAAATCAACCTCACTCTCCAAGGATCCACCTGCCAGGCAAATCAGGTATTAATCCCACATTTCGAGAAGATCCGTATCAATATCCTCTCATAAAGACCGACAGAGAGAGATCTAGACCACCACATCTCCATCATGTCAGCACCATTGGAAAACCCAAATGAAGATTTGGGACTTGGGTAGGACATAGAGAACTTTGCAGATCTCAACATAGGAGAAGAGAGCGCTTCCCATAACGCTCAGCCAAACATCTCCTACAACATTCCACTTAACATCCTCTTCTTCAACACTGAGGGCGTCGCTCGCCCTAACTTTCTCCAACACTACATGCACCTACATTCTAGCGGACGCTTCCACCTCGTCATCATCACAAACACAAAAAAAGGGAAAGCGAGGCTCAGTTCATGAGCCAAATCATGGGTTACTCCAACACCAAGACCATGAACCCACCTCCCAGCGGCATGGAAAGAGTAACGGGCGGAATTTGGTGCCTATGGAATGAAGCTGAAATCTCATGTGATGTAATAGAGATCCCGTGGAATCAAGCCATCGCCCAACAAGACCACATCTTTATCCGGCCGGCTCGCACCAAATGAAATTTAAATATAAACTCTCCATGAGCAATCCAAATGCCCCTATTGTATCAAAAGCCTAATTTTAGACGACTCTATCTGAATACTTGTCTGCATAAGTTAATATTTTTCAAAACTTTTTAACATAGTCATGTACAAATACTCTCATTAGCTATAAGAGCATCTGTACAGGGGGGCATTATTGTGGGTACTTGTATCAAGCTCAATATGTGGTAAGCCCTACAGGTGCCACATCACCAAAACCCCACCCACGTGGCAGACCAATAAGGCACCACGTCGGGCATGTCGTATGTTTACTACATGGCGAGCCCTACGGGCGTCATGTGCCAAGGCAGCCAAGACTATATGCTTAGCCTAAGCAGGAGCATATATACAAGCCCAAATATATCTATATATGAAGAGCCCTGCAACAAGCAGCACCATGGCCCCACAGGGCCCATGGTCCTTCATACCTTGCTCTGAGACCAAACAACAATACAATCAGCCCCCAGTTCACTTAGACTTGGATTGATAAACACTGGCTCTCCTAAAGATTGAAATAAACCCGCGGCCCATTCTCCTACTTGGTCACTTAGAAGCGAGCCCCTCTCCTAAACATTGAGATAAGCCCGCAGCCCATCCTCCTACTTGGTCGCCTGGAAGCGAGCCCTTGGCTCTCCTAAACACTAAGGTGGGCCCTAGCCCATTCACCTACTTGGATGCCTGGGTTGGGAGCAGGACCCAGGCACTACTGCTCGGGATCATCAGAGGATACTGGACTAGCGGCTGAAGTCATGGGATCGTCGAGATAGTTGTCTTCTTGCTGAGACAACTCCATCTCGACCAGGCTTGGAGAAGAGGCAACAATGACCTTACGTTCATGTCATCCGATGCATATACGAAACGTTACTTTCTTCCTGCCATGAAACGTTGCTCTCCGCCTGCCGTCAAGCCACAGACGGCAGAAGGGCTTATATCACTTCTGGCAGAGTTGAGGGGAACTAGCCACCTGTCCAACAGTTTGCTTGGGCTCCAATACTCCTGCAGCCTATATAACGTATCGTATATGCAGCGAGACATAAGAACAACAATACAACCAAGTCTCATGCTTAGACACCCTATCATACTTTACATTAGTGTTCAAAGGTCTATCACTGCCAACCTCTCCCTCTCCAAGCTTGCCTTGACCTCCTCCTCTCCACCTCCGGTGATCTCAGGCCATTGAAGTGCCTGCCATCTTCCCGGACTACCTCTAACCACACCTCTCACCCACACCTATATTTTTTTTTGCCACTCAAAATCTCTAACAACAAGACTCCAAAGCTGAAGACATTAGATTTGATTGAGAAAAGACCATCCAAAGCATACTCAGGTAATATATAACCACTGGATTCATGTATTAAATTGAATCATTTAGTAACCCTAAAGATATCAATGCATGCAACAACAACAACAACAACAAAAAACAAAAAACATAAAAAGATGTTTTGGTGCAAAGGCACATAAATTATGTTTTACTCACTAAGTGCCAACAATTCGATTTGTTGCTTGTGATCCATTTCCATTGAAAATTCTTGCCATCCCAAAATCGGAAATTTTTGGGTTCATATCTTTATCCAACAAAATGTTGCTAGTTTTTAAATCTTTTCATCTCTTTCAATGCAGCAGCCCAGTAGTCTCACAAGATTCTTGTGTTGAAGTTTTACTATGAGCATAGCCTCATTCTGTAATTCCTCCAATCCTTGTCCAGATTTTCTTGAAAGCCTTTTCACGGCCACCTCATATCCTTTTAGTAACTTTCCCTGATATGGAACCTCATTAATTTTCTTTGTATTCTTTGGAAAATTAGCATCAAATACTATTTGAAAGTAATATTTTAAGTATAAAAAACTCAATGCACCAATTGGGACTCCACTACTTAGTAGTGTTCAACATCCCAAAAGCATCAGTCAGTGATGTTGAATTTTACCTTGTAAACAGGTCCAAAACCAGCCTCTCCAAGCTTATTTGCATCAGAGAAGTTATCGGTAGCAGAAGATACACTAGTGAAACTAAACAACGGTAAAGCAACTTCCTTCTTCCCACCAATAAGATCCTTACTGGCTTCATTTAGTGTGCAGTTGGCAGCTCCAATACTTGTGCCAACATCGAATAACAGTAAATCCTCCCCTGCTTGGTCAAAAATACAGGGGCTAATTTTTATTTTTTGAATTATATTAGGGCATTTGAACCTATATAGAAGCACAATGACTAATCTTTAGTTACTAATAAAAATGCACACCTTTGTTTTGCGACTTTATCCTCCTCAACATACAATAAAGCAAGTGTCATAGAAACTGCAAGTGCTAGAATAAACCATTTCCACCTCTTCCTTCTTGAATCTGCAAAAAGAGTTCCAAAATCAATGAAATTAATTGTTGTCCCCATGCCACCAAAACAATTGCAACAATTCCATTATTCTTACCTTCACTAAGAAACGCAGAAGCAGAAAGTTTTAGATAGAAATCACTCCTATCAAGGTCATCATCTTTCAGTTGTTCAACGTTAAAGAGATCTTCACTCCATATTGAACACCCATCACTGCCGTAAGGAAAAGCAGAGCAAGAGCAGATATTGAAAAGCACCTCTATCTTGCAAAACTATCGGATTGAAAGGAAGTCTTACTTTAGGTATCCAAACAAACTGGTCACTCTGTCCATTGGCTTGACTATCATTGCCACATTGTAAAGGCGCTTTCCTCACACACCCTCCTGACACGTCTCCTGCAATCCAATTTCGCACAGAACAGGGTTCAAAACCCGGCAAACATTGGCAAAATGGAAGGGCCTTTTGACTGCAAATTCTAAAAGCCCCACAGTGGGCATAAACCTCACACTGCTGGATCGGTTGAGACCAAATCAAACCCCATTTATGAGTAGTTTCAGACCACGACAGCAGCTAAAGTTTCCCTGATACATCCAACACAAATATACTCGTCACGGAAGCATCAGTAACAGAGGAAGTGAAATTGCTCCACCACGGGCTGAAAACATAGGTGATGTGTATATTGCGAGCTCTCATATCAGGGATCATTGGGAAACTTTGTCCAGTCCATACCCCACTAGTCCAATACCTTTGAGATCCCTTCTTAATGAAGAACTGGTCGTGCCTTGAGGATCAAATTCCAGAGAGAAAACTCCAGGGCCAGGGTTTTCCCTGCTTTTCCAGTACATCAAAGACCAGGTTTTTCTATTTGATCACATTATAACCAAGCTTCATTCCAGGCAAGAGAGTATGTGAAGGGTAGTCAAAGCTTTGCCATAGTAACTCACCAGATGTCCCGTCTCTCAAAACAAGATTTCCTGAATCCAAAAGGGTAGCACTAGTGTTACCATTTGATGATATGTTAGTCAACATGTACAAAAATTTTCCCTTCACTATCGCGAGGTTTCCATCAGCGCTGATGCTAAGAACCGCAGAAGGATCTGTGAGTAGGTAATCTCGATTGGCTACCCAAACAACAGTTTGTACCGGTTTTTTTTTTTTTTTTTTTTTTGGTGGTGTGTTTGAGTGTCTTCTCTCTCCTAACCGAGAGTGAAAGAGAGAGAGACTGACATAGGCTAAAAAATTAAAATAATAATAATAAATCTAGAGTAAATACAGATATTTAAGGGCATTTGGGACCGCCTAATCTCTCTCTCTTCGTCTTTTTATAGCCTTAGAGAGAGAGGGATGATCTCCAGGTGTGTATTCTGGGTTTGATGGGCTCCGGCTGAGGGTGGCGCCATGGCTGGTTTGCTCTGTATACTCAGTATGTTTTGTGCCGCTGGTGGTCTTGTGCCGCCGGTGGTGTTGGTGTTGATTGTTAGCCTCAAGCTTCAACAATGGTAGCATGGTTTCGGCATTGGAGCTCGAGTGCATGGGTGGTCTGCGTGGTGTCGCCAGTGTTCATTCGGCGGAGCCACCGTCTAGCATGGCAAGTGTTGGTGGCGGTGCTTTCTTGCTCCTTCAATTATGGATTCTCCGTGATTCAGCTGCTGGTGTAACCAACCCGTGCGCTGTGTGTATGCAAGAAGAAGTTGTGTTGCATGTGTCCACCAACTTCACCAACCCAGCCCCCCTCAGAGAGAGAGAGAGAGATCAGGTTGAGGGAGAGAGCCGTGGGCCTCGTGTTTGTGTTGTCTGAGTGTTGTGTGTTTTTTTTTTTGGTTGTCTAGGTGGTCTCCGACAGGCGAAGTTCACCTGGTATCGTAGTGCCGGCATCGCTACAGTGAGCGTGGCAAACCCAGTGGCCGTGATAAGCCCACAATATTGCGCACCGTACCCAGTTAATCTAACCATCGTGAGGAAGCGCTCCTGACCATAACAGAGGGCAACTTCGCAGTCACCGATGACAATGGAAACATCATGTTCAAGATCAAAGGCAAGACTGAGTACCATCCATGGATTGGTGTTAGGAGGAAGAAGCATAGATGCACAAAGGGCAAGTGACCCTACCTTCATCCACCCATCTATCCAAGCAATCTCTGTGAAACACATGACTACAGTTGCACAGATCTTTGTTGATTTTATCAGCGGAATAGGTTGAGGTCTGGCGGGCGGCCAAGGCGAAGCTGCCGCCCGCCGGTGAAGCGAAATTACTAGGTTCTTAACCTAGCTCTGATACCATGTAAGGGTTTATGTATACAGAAAGAGAGAGAGCAAGTGAATAAATGAGATGTTATTGATATATTGAATGTTATACACGGTCTCCTTTATATAGGAGAAAATGGCCTAAGTGGTATACACACTATACAAAACAACATGATGGCCTAAAGGGAAAGTGGTCACCGAAAGGGGAAAGTATACACTAAGAAGACAACATTATTAAAGCTAGTTGGTGTTTTACAGCTAATATATATATGCACTAACATATAATACATATACTACAGGCCTTTTGACTGCAAATTCTAAAAGCCCCACAGTAGGCATAAACCTCACACTGCTGGATCAGTTGAGACCAAATCAAACCCCATTTATGAGTAGTTTCAGACCACGACTGCAGCTAAAGTTTCCCTGATACATCCAACACAAATATACTCGTCACGGAAGCATCAGTAACAGAGGAAGTGAAATTGCTCCACCACGGGCTGAAAACATAGGTGATGTGTATATTGCGAGCTCTCATATCAGGGATCATTGGGAAACTTTGTCCAGTCCATACCCCACTAGTCCAATACCTTTGAGATCCCTTCTTGATGAAGAAATGGGCGTGCCTTGAGGATCAAATTCCAGAGAGAAAACTCCAGGGCCAGGGTTTTCCGTGCTTTTCCAGGACATCAAAGACCAGGTTTTTCTATTTGATCACATTATAACCAAGCTTCATTCCAGGCAAGAGAGTATGTGAAGGGTAGTCAAAGCTTTGCCATAGTAACTCACCAGATGTCCCGTCTCTCAAAACAAGATTTCCTGAATCCAAAAGGGTAGCACTAGTGTTACCATTTGATGATATGTTAGTCAACATGTACAAAAATTTTCCCTTCTCTATCGCGAGGTTTCCATCAGCGCTGATGCTAAGAGCCGCAGAAGAATCTGTGAGTGAGCATTCTCAGTTGGCTACCCAAACAACAGTTTGTACCGAAATTCTTTTGTACCATATGGCCACATAGTAATTCATTGTAGAGCTCCCGTTCCCAGGACTGAAGAATCCCAACTCAAAGACATTTCCTGCAGATGCAATGGTGTCGGAATCGGTGATTAACTGTCCTGGTAAGATTGTATCTGTTGAGGCATCAGCAAGCCACAAACATGAAGAAATTAACAGGAAAACAAAATGAGCATATGTTGTCATCCTTGTATTATTGGTGTTAGCCATTGGATTTTCATGGTCGACTCCGTAATATATAAAGTCCATAGCATATGCTTGTTAGCTCATTCATATACAATGGTGGACGCATTTCATAACAGATTAAAATTCTTTGGACAATTTTTAAAAGGATTAAGTTTCCGTCAGTACAAGCCAACATCAGAATTAAAAAATGTGGAATAATATAATTAATATAATTTCAGACATGTTCTGCCTTATAAATCCACAAACCCACCTAGGAATCTACCTTAACTTTTCTTTAGAATAACATATTTTGTATTGCTGGACCGTCATTGAATACATATATTCATCCTGACAGGCAATGTTTTGCATATATTTCAAAGGCTTAATGAATCAACCATGATTTATTCATAATTGCCAATTTGGGAAGCAAAGCATACATTATATAATCAACATTGTGAGCAGAAGGAGTACATATATTCTCAAAATTTTGGAATATGAATATAGAAAACCTTAACCCTCATCAGAAACTGAGAAAACATGGGCAAATTTCTGACAAAAACATAATTGATTTTGGTTCTTTTCTATTACAAGGACTTGAGAAAAGAAAACCAAAGGAAATTGGTAAATAAGTCCAGTCAACTGAGTCTATTGCAAACAATTTCTAATAATTAGGTGATTTCTGTTCCTCCTCCATTTAGACTAATCAGATTAGGAGTTTTTGTATCCTTTTTTTTTAGCATCATCAGTATTCTAATCAACCAAACAGAGTATGATCACGGATTATACATCCAAATTCCGACTGAAATAAAAGCATTATAAAATAATTAAAAATCCTTGGTTGCAAGGGAATTTTCATCAGATACTAGAATTTTTCTTTTTTTTATTGGCCAAACACAATCTGTCTGGTTTGGAATTTTCTAAAACCGAATTTTCATTTTTAGTAAATTATTTTAACATTTTAATCAATTTTTTTAATTTTTTAAATCCACTTAATTTAGATACAGTTAAATATATATATATATATAATTTATACAAAAAACTTTAAAAAAAATTCATTAAAATACAACAAAAAGTCAAAAAAAAAAAAAAAAAAAAAAAAAAAAAAAAAAAAAATTGTATTAAATGAATTTTTTGAAATATTTTTACACAAATTTTCTATTTTGATTAAAAATAAATAAAAAAAATATGAATTGAGAAAAAAAAATAAATAAATAAAATAAAACCTCCAACCAAACAGATTTTAATTCATTTTCTCCCTAAACCCTAAACCTTAAGGGTGTAAATCTGGCCCGGCTTGGCTCTGCCCATGTTGGGCCTTGCAGGCTCCAGCCAAAATTCGGGCCGGGCCATGGGCCAAAAAATTAGGCTCTGGCCTAGGGGTATTCTAACCTTGGGCGGGCCGGTGGGGGCAGGCCAGTGGGGTCGGGCCTCAGGCCGGACTAGTGGGCCTAGGCCTGCCCTTGTGCTTGGGCAGGCCTGATCATTTTTTTTTGTTTTTTTTTTTAATTTTTTCTACCAAAATTTTATTATTTTCCACTAAAAAAGATACTGGGCCTCAGGCAAGTCGGGCCTTAAGCGGGCCGATGGGTTGGGCTACGAACCGAGCCGAGCTGGGTCGAGCTTCAAATGATGGCCCAAGTCCAGACCCAAACAGGCCTAAACAGGCCGAGCCTACCCCAGGCCACGGGCCATTTTTACACTCCTACTAAACCCATATAAATATATAGATAGGGGATTTTAACATTTATACAAAAAATCTTTAAAAAAATTCATTAAAATACAACAAAATATGAAAATGCACCCCAAAAAAAAAATTGTCGTATTCAATGAATTTTTTTTAAAATTTTTACAAAAATTTTCTATTTTGATTAAAAATAAATAAAAAATATGAATTGAAAAAAAAAAAACTCCAAACCAAACAGATTTTAATTCATTTTCTCCCTAAACCCTAAACCCATATAAATACTATATAGATAGGGGATTTTTAACATTTGTACAAAAATCTTTAAAAAAAATTCATTAAAATACAACAAAATATGAAAATGTACACACACACACACACAAAAAAAATGTTGTATTCAATGAATTTTTTGAAATATTTTTACACATATTTTATATTTTGATTATAAAAAAATAAAAAAATATGACTTTGTGTTAATTGGGAATATTCTGCATATGATAGGTAACTTTTGGCTTTGAACCTTTTGTAACACCCCAAAAATGCAAATCATAATTATTTGGATTACCCATGTGTTAATTGCGGATTATATGATTTAATTTGTATATATCTGTCTAAATTGGGAAATTATCCATTGAGAATACGACATTGAAACTGAAATTGACGGCCGAAATGGGTTCAGAAACTGAAATGGAGTATATGGATATGTTAATTGGAATTTTTAGAATCATCTGAGCAATTTAATTAAAAATTGATTACGTCTGATTCGTAAAGTCATGTTTGACTCTTATTACATGTATTGAGTTTAGAGATGGATAATTAGAGCTTAGTTCACATTAGTGTAATTGAGATCATAATATGTTGAAAATTAATTTAATTAAAATGAATTTGTTATAATTTAATTCAAGTAATTAATTAGCCAAAAATGTACGTAAGTATAAAGAAGGACTTGTTTTTCTACTCACCCATTTAATAAGAAATATGAGAGGTAGTGGGCATTGTTGAGCCACACGTAAAGAGAGAGAGATAGACTTCAGGGAGGGAATTCAAGAAGGAGAAGAGGAGAAAGAAAAGAATTACTATTCACAAATCAACCCTTTATGGTAAGAATTCTCTTCTAAATTCTTGAAATTGAGATGTTACACTCATGAATTTATGGAATTTAAGTTTAATTAAGAAGGAATCAAGCCTAATTGTTGTTTTTATGGGGTAAAATGAAGTAGAATATACGAATGAACAAGATAAGGAAGAAATTGTAAGGATTGAGCTCATATTATGTACATGCATGGTAGATTTGAAGAATTTAGTTCAATATTTTGACATGCATGGTTTCATTTCATGAAATTCTTATTTAAACACTTATTTTCTTACATGGTTTCTATGGCTCCTAAGGATTTGAAAAGAATTTCCTCTTGGATTTTTAAGTTAAAGCTTCTAACTGTATATTTTATGTTTTTACAATTTGATTGAAGTTTTGAGCTTTGAATTGGCAAATTGGGTTTGTTTTTGAAGGAAATCTTGAATTAATCTTGAAGATAAATGAGATTTTGATTTTAAATCCCTAATCCATGCATGTAATGTAATTTAAGAGTCTTATTGATTAAACCATATTTTGGAATATATATTAAATTAGTTAGTTTATTTGAATTATATACATGCAATATCTGCTAGGAAAATTGATAAGAAAATGATGAGATGTCATTATCTAGGCTGAGGTGTGTATCACCAAGGCCGAGATGTGTATCATCTAGGCCGAGATGTTATCCTTGAACCCAAGTGATCTTGTTCCTGGATTGGTACGACCAAGACCGAGGTGTGGCACATCTAGGCCGAGGTGTGGCACAGCTAGGCCAAGTGTTGTCCTTCCTAGCTGGGATCATCGATACCTTACCTGTCAGAGCCGATGATGTCACCGATGTCATTATCTTGCCAGAATGCCCATGCCGCTTTACTTGTCGAACACCCTTTCGCCATGCTTTTGTCTGGTCTGTCAGCCACTTTTGAGGGAACCCAATCGGTCGCTGCCACGTGCCCCAGCAGAAGGTTAAGCCTAGAACCAGACATGAGAAACTATCATTTTGTATCATATCTTTGCCTTTTAGAGAGAGAAGCTCTAGGAGGAAGAAGAAGTTTTAGAGTGAGAGAGTAGATCTTCGAGCTTGATTCCTAGAGATCAAACCGTTAGATTCGTGTATTGAGGTTAGGTTCTTGACCTACTCTTGTTATTCTTTATGTTGATCTAATCGCATTGCATGATCTAGCATGTTTTATGAACCATGCATTGCTTTGAAGTTCGGTTTTAGAAAGAGAAAGTGATATTCATGTGTTCTTGAAGAAAATCATGTTTTGATCCGAAAGTTTGTATCAAGATGCATGTTTATCGTGTTTGTTTTCATAAGATCTTCAAATATGGGTACCAAGGTCTATGTTTTCGAACTCATAGCACGAAATCTCAGATTTTGTAATAACAAGTTATGATTTAAGCATGCATGTTCTTCATCTTCTCCATCTTCATGTTCTTCATGTTCCTCAAAGGGAAACCCAGATTTTCCCAACTTCGCTTTTGAATGTGGCCGTCGGGACCACACATCGGTGAGAAGGTGTGGGACCTCGGCCAAGACCTAGTTAGTACCCAGCATGTCTTCTCGACGTGTAAAACAGTGTTTTAACCCCAGCATGTTTTCCCGAGATCATTTGCATGCATGTAGGACTTGCTTTGAGAAGTGCATTTAGTAGACTTTGCCATGTGTTTGTAGGCCTTGGATCCTCGCTTGAAACCCCCACACCCGAGGAACTATGTGAGTGGTATTTTTAATAAAGCTATGTTATCATGTTTTGATAAAGCTTTGCTTTACCTTGTTTTGAAAGTATTTGATCAAGCATGAATGATTATCCCTATTTTGTATATCAAGTATTATCTTGTTTTGATGACATTCTTGGAAAAGTCCTTAGTGCCAGGGGACTATAATGCAGTTGCACCCTTGTCTTAAAAGTCTTTAGTGCCAGGGGACCATAATGCAACTGCACCCTTGTCTTGAAAGTCCTTAGTGCCAGGGGACTATAATGCAACTACACCCTTGTTTTGCCACAGACGGTCTATGAACGGGTGGGTTTGTTTGTCCGGAATGTCATCATTTGGTATTACATAGATGTTATTAACATCCAAGGAACTTGAAAGGTTTGACGGATGAACTTGTTTCATCCCTTGACTTGTAAAGTTATGATATGTATTGTTTTGGAAAAGATCTCGGATATCAACCATGCAAAACCTTTATTTCTAATATCATTCACTGAGTATCCAAGCTCACCCTCTCTATATATATGTAGGTGATGAACAAGAAGGCGATGAGGCCTAGATGTATTGCCG